TGACTATCAAAGAAAAAATACGAATACATTTTCTGTAGCTACTAGCATGTCTATCTTTACTTTAATCCTGCCACACAACTATGTAAATTCCCCACAATAGCAGGACTATAGCAGCAGTGGCACTATCTAATTCCCCTATGAAATATGCCCTACTGAACATCCAATCCTATCCTGTATTTGCACCTGTATTACCTACAAAGAAACTCAATGGAAGTCATTAACTGAATAGCATGTTGAAATTTCTGGGATGACCTGAACCCAATATGTATTTCTTCCATTGAAAGTAAATATTTCACTCTGGTGAATTTAAGTGCAGCTCTCTTTAGCATAATCTCCGAATAAAGACAGCTAGGCGGGTGGCACATGCATATAGTCCCAGCTACTCTGGAAGCTGAGCTAGAAGGACCACTTGAGCCTGGGAATTTGAGGCTGTGGTGCACTATAATTGCACCCAGGAATAGCTACTGCATTCTTGCTATGGGCAACATAGCGAGACTCCATCTCTTAAAAAAAGAAAAGAAATAAAAGATAGTCAACAACTGTTTTCTTCTGAGAGGCCAAAAACCTTTAGACACTAGGGTTCACTGGCTCCTTCAAACTTTCAAAACACCATAACAATACTTACCAGAATTTGGATTTTGCAAGAAAAATTAGACTTCCTTAGCATATAGATAATTTAACATTATATATTCAAGGTCGCAAGAACCTCAGATATATTCCTTATTCTTCTTGACTGGACTAGCTAGAAAGAAACATACCATTTTCAATATTCTCAAGAAAAGAAATCTTCAGCAGGTCAATCACTTTCTTTGCCAGAACTAAAGCTATACAAGAACATTCTAGACTCTCGACCAAGTGGTAAATGAGAGGATTATTATTATTATTATTATTTCAGTTGGAATCTCACTCTTTCGCCCAGGCTGGAGTGCAGTGGCAAGCATGCTCATGGCCACCTCAGCGTCGAAATTCTGAGCTCTGGCGATCCTTCCGTCTCAGCCTACCGAGTTGCCGGAACTACAGACGCGCGCTACCACACCCAGCTATTTTTTTTTTTTTTTTTGAGTTGGAGTCTCACTCGGTCGCCCAGACTGGAGTGCAGTGGCCGCTTCCGGCCACCGCAGCCTCGACCTGCTGGGCTCCGGTGATCCTTCCTCCTCAGACTTCTAAGTAGTTGGAATTACAGGCATACGCTACCACGCCCAGCTGATTTTTTGATTTATTGTAGAGATGAGGTCTCGCCTGCCCAGGCGGGTCTCGAACCTGCAGGCTCAGGCAATCCACTCACCTCAGCCTCCCAAAGGCGTGGGATTACAGGCTGAGCCACCGAGCCCGGCTTATTTTTAATTTATTTATTGTAGAGATGAGATCTCACCAAGTTGCCCGGGCTGGTCTTGAACCCGTGGACTCAGGCAATCCACTCGCCTCGGCCTCCCAAAGTGCTGGAATTACAAGCTGAGTCACCATGCCCAGTCAATGAGAGAATTATTAAGGCTAATGGGGTCAGGCTCGGTGGCTCAACCTGTAATCCTGTCACTTTGGGAGACCGCGGGTTTGAGACCCGCCTGGGCAACTTGGTGAGACCTCCTCTCTATAGTAAATAAAAAATTAGCCCAGCGCGGTAGCGCGTGCCTATAGTTCCTGCTATTTGGAAGGCAGAAGGATCGCCAGAGCCCAGCAGGTTGACGGTGAACGTGCCACTGCTCCCCAGCCTGAGCGACAGGGTGAGACTCGAACTCAAAAAAAAAAAAAAAAAAAAAAGATGAATGAGTTCTTACCATAGACAGTGGACAGTTAACGTTGCTAAAAGAGTGCAACCATCACTATCACATGAAATGACTGAAGCAAACATCCTGACCATTTAGAGATATATACTAAAAAATTTACAGATAAAATTATATACTACCTGGGATTGGTTTCTAAGTAATCCAGCAGGGTGAGGGTTAGTGAGGGGGACATACATGAAATAAGGTTGGCCATATGTTGATAAGGTAGACAGGAGATGGGTACTAAAAGGTTATTATACTTTTCATTGTACATCTGAAAATGTTTGAATTTTTCCTATTAAAAGGGCAGGGAAACAAAATTTGTAGATTGTTAGGGCATCTATTTACAGTATAAAAAACTGGGGGCTAAAATCCACCAAAAACTCATTTAAATCAATTTTAAAAGACATTCTAATAGAAGAGTGAACAAAAGATATAAGGATTATTACAGGTCATGCATGCTGGCTCATGCCTATAATCCCTGCACTTCGGGAGGCCAAGGTGGGAGGACAGTTTGAATCCAGGAGTTTGAGACCAGCCTAGGCAACATAGCTAGACCACCTTTACAAAAAAATCGAAAAATGAGCTGGGTGTGGTGGCATGTGTCTATAGTCTAGCTACTTGGGAAGCTGAGGCAGGAGGATTGCTTGAGCCCAGGAGTTCCAGGCTGCAGTGAGCTGTGATTGTGTTACTGCATTCTAGCTGGCAACAGAGTAAAACTTCAACTCAAAAAACAAAACAAAACAAAAATTATAATTACAGAAGAACCAAGAAAAACCAATAAACATATTAGACAATAATCAATATCAGTAGTAATCAGAGATATTCAAAATTAAACAAGGTACCATTTGTTGCCCATCAAATACACAAAAAAATTAAAACAATGTAATATCCAGCATTGGGAAGGGTATGAAGAAACAGTCATGCATACGCTCATATTTAGAGTGTAAATGAAAATTGTGTTAAGCATAAATGTAAATTGCTATTTCCTTTGGAGAGTTATTCTTCAGGATCTATCAAATTTTAAAATGCCCATGCCATTTGACCCTGAAATTGTAATATTAACACTATATCCTACATAGTCACAATTATGTCACGTGTTTAAAAATATGAGGATAGTAATTAATATATTCTTTATAATAATGAAAAACTGAAGAACATAAATCTTGCTACATCTATACAACGGAATACTATGCAGTTGTTAAAAAAGAATGAAATGGCCAGGAGCGGTGGCTCACACCTATAATCCCAGCACTTTGGAAGGCCAGAGGTGAGAGAATTGTATGAGCCCACGGGTTCAAGACCAGCCTGGACAACTTGGCAAGACTGCAACTCTACAATAAATCAAAAAATTAACTGGGCATGGTGGCACATGCCTATAGTTCCAGCTACTTGGAAGGCTGAGGTGGAAGGATTGCCTGAGCCCAGCGGGTTGAGGCTGCAGTGGCTGTGAATATGCCATTGCACTCCAATCTGGGAGTCAGTGAGACTCCAACTTAAAAAAAAAAAAAAAGAATAAGGTAGTGGCAGAGATTTCTATACATAGATATAGAAGATGACTATTACACTGGCATCTGTAAAGAGCAAGATATAGGAAAAACATAATATCATCTCATTTATATTCAAGTGAAAAAAATGTGTGTATATAAATTTGAAGATATTCTAGAAGGATATATGCCAAAATGTCAACAATAGTTATCTCTAAGAAGTAAAATAAAACAGTATTACAGAAAATAAAAGGAAACTTTGTATTCTTTGTATTTCTATTTTTAATCACTAGTATGTTCTTTTTTTAATCACTAGTATGTATCTCTTTTGTCAGTAATAAATACATATATGTAATTCAAAGATGATCTAAAATATATTTTATATCCTAAATCAAAACTCCTTAAAGTGGCTTTGTCACTAAAGCACTAGATGGTTAAGTTCCCTGTGAGTTTCATTTACATCTGTTTTTGGAGACAGGCTGTCCAGGCTGGCCTTGAACTCTTGGCCTCAAATGTTTCTCCTCAGCCTCCTAAGCAGGTGGGTCCACAGGCACACACCACCACACCAGCTTCTGAAAGTCTTATTTGCATCTAAATCTCAAGCACCAAGCACAATTTCTTGTTTATAGTAAGTGTTGGATAAATATCTGCTGAATGAATTAATGTGATAAGCTGAACAGACTTTTCTATTAATTTATGTAAAATAGTAATTACTGACTATTTTATCTCTTTCATAACAAGTTTGAGGGGACCCAAAATTAAAAACCAGAATTATCTTTTGGAGGGCAGGCCCCTTGTAGTACACTTGGTACTTGTTCCTCCAGATCAAACAGTCAACCAAAGTTTTTATCTGGAAGTTCTGAGGAGGCTGCATCATGAATTGTGGAAGAAACATCCCCAGTTGCGGCAAACAGGTGACTGGTTCTACCACTGTGACAACACACCTGCCCACATGATGCTGAGTGTTCAGTTTTTTGTTTGTTTTGTTTTGTTTTGTTTTTTTGAGTTGGAGTCTCACTCTGTCGCTCAGACTGGAGTGCAGTGGCCGCTCCCGGCCACCGCAGCCTCGACCTGCTGGGCTCCAGCGATCCCTCCGCCTCAGCCTTCCAAGTAGCTGGTTTTCAGTTTTTAATTTAAAAAAAAATGGCATGACCCCCGTGCCCCAACCTCCCTATTTACCTGATCTCACTCTGAGTGACTTTGTTTCCTTGAATGAAAAAAGTCCTCTAAAGGTAACATTTTGCCGATATAGAAGAAGTGAAACAAAAAACATTAGAAGCACTAAAAAGCATGAAAACAGATGAGTTCAAAAACAGTTTTGAGCTGTGGAAAAAGTATCTTGATAGATGTATTGTATCAAACAGAGAGTACGCTGAAGGTGACAAGTTTTAACATGTAAGAATCAATACACAATTTTTTATAAATAAATTCCAAGTTTTTTAGGGTCCCTCTTGTATAATTTTCAAACTAGATCACAAGTTTCAACAGTCTTATGTCTTATAAAAATCACAAACTACAGCTTCTTTTCCTCTCATCATCTTTAAAGAGCTATAGAGGGAAAACCAAAAAAACAGATCCTGTTTTTATAAAATAACTGAATCCCAAAATGGAAACTGGTATTTGCTGGAACCCACAGAACCAAGAGGTGAGTAAGCGCTACACAGACTAGCAAGGGCATAGTTATGACAGGCATAGTTCTCACTCAGGGGTTACTTTTCAATTAACTCAGGTTTCCATGGAATATACTTACGCTCTCTGTATTCTATTTCTGCTTCCTTACGCAATTTTTTCTCTCTGGCAAGAGCTTCAGGACTTCCCCAAACTTCCAAAGATCTGTGCACACACATGGTAACCACAATGAACAATTTTAATGATTACATTAAATCTAAACAGTAAGAGTAATTACACTAAATCTAAACAAACAGTAAGAGTAAATTCAACAGCAAATTGTCTTATAAATTGAGACATATATTTAACCAGCAAATACAAGTCACTTCCAAATATACAAATTTGCAAATATAAAAATAATGTTTTTTTGGGTTTTTTTTTTTTGAGTTGGGAGTCTCACTCAGTTGCCTAGACTGGAGTGCAGTGCCGCTTCCGGCCACCGCAGCCTCGCCTGCTGGGCTCCAGCGATCCTTCCTCCTCAGCCTTCCGAGTAGCCAGAATTACAGGCATGCGCTACCACACCCGACTGATTTTTTTTTTATTTATTGTAGAGATGAGGTCTCGCTGCCCAGGCGGATCTCGAACTCACGGGCTCAGGCAATCTACTCACCTCAGCCTCTCAAAGGCGCGGGATTACAGGCTGAGCCACCGAGCCCGGCTTAAAAATAATGTTTTTAAAATATGCCATTTAAAAAATTCAGAATCTGCCTACTTTTTTTTAAATAAGAGGGCCAGGCACGGTGGCTCAAGCCTGTAATCCCAGCACTTTGGGAAGCTGAGGTGAGGGGAATGCCTGAACCCACGGGTTCGAGAATAGCTGGGGCAACTTGGCTAGACCTCATCTCTACAATAAATCAAAAAATTAGACAGGTGTGTGGTAGCGTGCGCCGATAGTTCCAGTTATTTGGAAGGCTGAGGCGGAAGGCTGAGGCGGAAGGATCGCCTGAGTTCAATAGGTCGACACTGGGATGGCCGTGGGCATGCCACTGTACTCCAGCCTGGGTGACGGTGTGTAAATAAGTAAATAAACAAATAAACAAACAAATAAGAGATAGGATCTTGCTCTGTCACCTAGCCCAGAACGCAGTGGCATGATCTTAGCTTACTGTAGCCTTGAATTCCTGGGCTCAAAAGATTCTCCCACCTCAGCCTCCCAAGCAGCCGGGACTAAAGCTGTGTGCCAGCACACCTGATTAATTTTTGTATAACTGGGTGTCTCACTATGTTGCCCAGGCTGGTCTTGAACTCCTGGATTCAAGTGATCCTCCCACCTTAGCCTCCCAAAGAGCTGGGATTACAGATGTGAACTACCACACCAACATGTATTTTTATTAATCCCAAATTCAACTTGAATTTTCAGTCTGAAAGAAGTATGTTCTTACTTTGCCTCTACATCTGATCTCAAGTACACGGTAAAGGACTCAGTGTCTTCATGGGGACTTCGTCGTCTGATCTTTCGAAGTTGTTCTAGATCACTGGAGAAAGAAATATGTTGAATTTATTCAGACAAGGTACATGTAGTTTACATACTTAAAAGGCTTACTAAGGGCAGGTAAAGGCAACTACATGGATCCTCATCTCAAAGAAACATAAATCTGTATGGTTTTTAAAGATCAGTTTACAGATTGAATTTTGTATACAAAAAATGTTCTAGGAACAGAGGGACAAACATTCCTGATGCTCGATATAGATATCATAGCATAATAGGTAGACATTCAATTCCTTCATCAATGCTTGCATTTTATCTGCTATGGGCACACAATTGCCATCTTTAATGTACGGGTAAAAAAGGAAAAAGTGGAAAGAACACATTAGAGCATCATGCCTCTACTTAAGAATTTAAATTAAAAATTTACAGTCATATTTGTTTACACCTAGATTAATACTAAGTGGTAATATCCATCCAAAGGCGAAGTCAAAGAGTATATGTCAATTACATGCTATTTACTGATTTTCCTTTCTCTTAAATTCGGGAAGGTTTATATATTTATCAAGTCATTGGTAAATAGTCATTTTATATTTAATCATGGGTTTTCATAAGAAAATTTTGTAATAACAATGAAATGACCTATAAATAAAAATCTGGTGACTATGGAATGTCATTAGGTTTTAGAAATTAAACCTAGATTTTTTAAAAAAAATCAACAGCCATCAAATGTGAGTTAAAACATGAACCAAATATCAAAAGACATATATTTTTGTTTCCTCTGTCACTGACACCCTAAATGAGCTGGGTCTTGTCCCAAATGCCTTATACTATATTTCTTTGCCTATTTATGTGGAAACAGCAATACCTGATCCATTTAATTCACAACATGTTTGCGAAAACTAAGTGAAATACTTTATGTGAAATAGAATATAGTTTTACATTAATATTATAATTGGTTGTTGTTTTAATAGCTATGAAAGTTACAAAGTTTATTACAGGAATTTGTATTTCTTAGTTTATATCACAGGAGATGTGACCATGAGAGGGAAAAAAGAATAGCTTATCCGGTTTTCTTAGTTGACCCATCAAAGAGGAAGAAAAGTTTAAATCTATTGACAAATATAATTTCAATAAATCTCTATGACCATGAAAAATTTATTAATAAAAGATATCAGAAAGAAGTAAAAATAAGTTATACTCAACAGAAACCACAGTTGAAGTGTAAACATATATCTAACTCGCTAAATTACTCAATTCTGCTAACCAAAAAAATAAAACACCCATATGCAAATAATCGTACTGACTATTCTGCCACATACCACTAACTCAACAATATAACTCCTAAGATTCTTGTGAGAAAGAGAAGTTTTGAAGAATCTGACTTTGGGAGTTTAAGAAACTGAGAAGGACTGGAATTGCTCATGTTTGGGCAGAATTCAGCTTGGTAGGCTAACAATTTCAACGTTTTTGACTGAATAAAAATATTTCGTTAATTTAAGAAGGAGCCAGTAGGAAATTTTCCACATATGGATGGTAGCAGGTAACACACTCTAAAAATGAATGGTTATTTAGAGTATTTAGATAGGGCATACTACTACATTTTAAAAAAATTACTATACCTGGATTTAAGGCAGAACTCATTTATTGCTCTGACTCCAGTGATGAAATTATTCTGAGTGTACTTTGATCCATACTCCCTTTTCTTAAGGACTGCTTTAACTAAACCAAAAACACAGGAAAACATAATAAATATGCACATTGAAAGTCACATTTGAAGATGAACACAGGCTGATATTTAAATGGGGTTCACCAATGAATTCCACAGAAAATTTATTTTTTTCCCGATGCACTAAATGGCATCAGGGAAAAAAAAATTCTCCAAGTACAGAATAGGATGGAATTACATCTGTAGCCATCTAGCTTTTGTCTCCACAGCTAATCTGTAACTGATAACAAACTGCCAGCCCTTTGTCTAATGGATATCTTGTATAATTATTACTGGTCTGTCTAACTCATATTAGTGCAATTTAAATTTAAAGCTTAGGACCTAAGTGAAAATGAACTGAAGTTTCAATTAAAAATTACAGACCAGTTCAGTGTTTTCCAAACCATGAAGTGACATCAGCATTTTATAAAAAGTGAAAACAGAGGCCAGGCAACACACCTGATTACAGGGCCTCACACCTGTAATCTCAGCATTTTGGGAGGCCAAGGAGGGAGGATTGCTTGAGCCCAGTTCAAGACCAGCATGGGCAACACAGAGAACCATCATCTCTACAGAAAATCAAAAAATTAACCGAGCATGGTGGTGCATGCCTGTAGAACCAGCTACTCGGAAGGCTAATGCAGAACGATTGCCTGAGCCCAGGAGGTCAAGGCTGCAGTGAGACATGATCGTGCCACTGCTATCCAGTCTAGGTGACAGAGTAAGCCACACCTCAAAAACAGAAAAAAAAAAAAGAGTGAAAATAGAAAGCAATCAAATAGTACTATACATAATTAAGCATAAGTAATTTTTCTGAAAACCTTTGTTTCAATTCTATATAATAGTTTATATTCAAGTATACAAGGTCACTAACTAGTATTTCTTTTTTTTTTTTTTTTTTTTGAGTTGGAGTCTCACTCCGTCGCCCAGACTGGTACAGTGGCCGCTCTCAGCCACGGCAGCCTCAACCTGCTGGGCTCCGGTGATCCTTCTGCCTCAGGCTTCCAAGTAGCTGAAACTACAGGCGTGCACTACCACACCCGGCTAATTTTTTGATTTATTGTATTGTTTTGCTTTTTTTTTTTGAGTTGGAGTCTCACTCGGTCGCCCAGACTAGAGTGCAGTGGCCGCTCCCGGCCACCGCAGCCTCGACCTGCTGGGCTCCAGCGATCCTTCCGCCTCAGCCTTCCAAGTATCCAGAATTACAGGCATGCGCTACCACACCCAGCTGATTTTTTTATTTATTGTAGAGATGAGGTCTCGCTGCCCAGGCGGGTCTCTAGCCCGCAGGCCCAGGCAATTCACTCACCTCAGCCTCTCAAAGGCGCGGGATTACAGGCTGAGCCACCGAGCCCGGCTTTGATTTATTGTAGAGATGAGGTCTCACCAACTTGCCCAGGCGGGTCTCGAACCCGCGGGCTCAGGCAATCCACTCACCTCAACCTCCCAAGGCATGGGATTACAGCTGAGCCACCGAGCCCGGCTACTAGTATTTCTTATGTGGGTTGCAGTCAGAAAAGTGTAAAGCCACTAGACTATTTCACTTAATGTAATAAAACTGAAGCAAACTAAGGAGCAATTTCATTAGTTAAAAATTATAAAAAGTTCATTATAGATTATAGGTAAAATATTGCCTTCTCACAAATTACTTTACAATTGTCAAATATCAATCTGCTCATAAAAAGGCCAGAGATGCCAATAACAAAATACCAATTTGGCATCAAGTATAGTATGTGAGTTCAAAACTACACAACATTGGTCCATGCTAATAAATCTCACAAAGTAAGATTTCTGGTCACATGTATATAGATAAATAACTTAAGCAAATATCTGAAGAGCAAGAGCAAGATAACAAACTCGTGTTCTACTTCAAATTGGCACCTATTCATTTCATGTTCTAGTCTCATATTAATCCAGTTTTCTGTTCTACTTCCAAGTTGAAAGAGCAAATTAAGCCTAAAATTATCTATCACTACAGTGGGTAAGAATATTCCTAAAATAATACATTAACTACTAAAATTAAGTGTACAAATAATTATTTGATATTTCAAAAATGATTGAATATAAAAATAAAAACTTCATTGGAAAAAAGAATATAAGGAAGGTCAGATTTCTTTTTGCAAAAATTTCAAGTCTCTAAACTGCCTCACTTCCATAACCCTAAAACTCAAAATTCAGATGAGCTCCTCTGGAACAGAAAGGAGAATTATTTTCTCTTTAAAAAGATTTGTTGAAAAAAATTTATTAGTTGTAAGAAATTTCTTCAAAACAGGGCCAGGTGCAGTGACTCATGCCTGTAATCCCAGGACTTTGGGAAGCTGAGGTAGGAAGACTGCCAGAGCCCAGGAGCTTGAGACAGCCTAGGCAACTTAGCAAGACCTGGTCTCTACAAAATAAAAAATAAAAAAATTAGCTGGGCGTGGTGGCACATACCTATAGTCCCAGCTACTTGGGAGGCTGAGGCAGGAGGACTAAGTTCAGAAGGTCAAGGATGTGGTGAGCTGTGATCGTGTCACTGCACTCCAGTCTGGGTGACAGAGTAACACCCCGATCTCCCCCCAAAAAGCTACAAATTCCTGTTGGTTTATTCTGGCCCAGATTAATGATAATGATGATGATGATGATAGCTGCTATCGATCACAATATTAATTATTCTTAATTGTGACTATCTGCTATGTGTTATCTTCAAAATTACCCTAAAAGAGAGGTCTCATTTTCAGTGCAATCTTATTGAGGAGAAACCTAAGACTCAGAGAAGTTAAGTATATTGCCCAATGGCAGACAGTTAGTAAGTGCTAGAGTCACACAGAGAACCAAGATTAGATTGACACCAAAGCCACAGTGCTCTTTTTTTCTTTTTTTTTTGAGTAGGAGTCTCACTCTGCTGCCCAGGCTGGAGTGCAGTGGCACGCTCATGGCCACCGCAACCTTGACCTGCTGGGCTCAGGTGATCCTTTCCTCAGCCTTCCAAGTAGCTGGAACTACAGGCATGTGCCACCACACCTAGCTAATTTTTTTTTTTTGAGTTGGAGTCTCACTCTTGTCGCCCATGCTGGAGTGCAGTGGCACAGTCACAGCCACCTCAGAGTTGACCTGCTGAGCTCAGGTGATCCTTCCGCCTCAGCCTTCCAAGTAGCCAGAACTATGGGCAGGTGCTACCACACCCAGATGATTTTTTTAATTTACTGTAGAGATGAGATCTGGCTAAGTTGCCCAGGCTGGTCTCGAACCTGTGGGCTCAGGCAATCCTCTTGCCTCCACCTCCCAAAGTGCTGGGATTACAGGCATGAGTCACCACGCCTGGCCACAGTGCTCTTAGTCACATGGAGATCCTGCCTCCATGAATCAGCTGCTTGGGAGATGGGCACAGCAGCCTCAAACAGGAATTCCTCCAGCACTGTTTCTCCTAGAACAGAAAATCAGACAAGAATGGCCAAACTCTACCTGGATCGTATTCCTTTCTTGGGGCTTTTAAAAAAATTTATGACAAAATAGAAAATAAACATCAGTGGAAAATTAGCTTGTAAATAAGAGAATACAGCTGGACTCAGTGGCTCAGCCTGTAATCCCAGCACTTTGGGAGGCTGAGGTGAGTGGATTGCCT